TTTTGTATGAATTTGATAAAGTTTTCTAAACTTGGCATTTTATCTAACTCATTTAAATATTCTCTCCATTTCCTATTTGTGACGTTATCTAGTTTACTAGAAACCATGTGAATTATGAGTAGATCCCAGTTCTGTGTACTAATGTTTAAAGTTTGAAGACACCTAAGGTTTTTATGAATGCTATCAATTACATTCCGTAACGCGACAGATGACTCTCTTATAATGGGTTCAATGTCAAATAATGCCTGAATATGATTGTTTATTAGAACCTTATTATTATGAAAGCGATCACACAATAACTGCCATGCAATGTCGTAATTGTCGGCGGAGAAATCTAAAGACGTAACGACGTTTGCGGCTTTGTCTTTTAAAGATGATTGTAGATAATGAAATTTATTTATCTTCGGTATACTATCATTAGAATGTATAAGTGACATAAAAGTGTCATGGAATCTCAACCACTCGTCATAACGACCCGAAAAGGTAGGTAGGTGTATCGTAGGTAACTTAAGACTAGGCCTAACCGCCGTAAGCACAGTGCCAGATAGAGAATCAGCCGACCCCTGGTCGTCCTTGCCCGGCTGCGCAGAAGTAAACCTGCTCGCCAATTCTCGCGCTTTGCCAACAGTAGCGAAGTACTCGATTTCAAACTTCTCACGATACTTATACTCCTTTTCACACTCGGTTTCTGAAATGTTTGGAAAACTCTCTATTTCAATTTGTAAAGCATCATATTGATCATACCATTCTTCTATTCTTGATAATCTAAGGTTGATATCACTTATTTGTGATTTATTTGGCGTTTCACAAGCGCATATGGACTCTACAAAAGAGCCGAATTGAGTAAGCTTTGCTTTATATGAAGCTCGCTTTCTTCTTAACTCAATTAATGTAGACATAATGTCTTATAAGCTGAATTATCATTAAGAAATAGATAACGTATAATGTTTGCGGAAATATAAAATTCCCTTATATTAATGTAACGATAGGAACAATAACGCTCGCCTTTGAATAATCTTCCCGCTGTCTCCGTCTTCTATGTTAATTCGGATCGTAGGACCACTTGGTGGGGAAGGTTCGCTGGCGGAGGTGTTCCAGATGGATTGAAAAGTTTATTTATTTTTGTATCTTTTAATTACATATTTTAATTATTAAAGTCTATAAGGGTAATGTATGACATATATATTGACAAGTCGCTATAGCAACGGTTACAGTTAAAAAATAAGATGCGGGTGATGTGAGGCGGTATGTCCACATCTGCTTAAAGGCGCGAACAATGGTCACAGTTTACATTTTAATTTTAATAGCAGTAATTGCAAATAAAATTAATATAGCTTTAACTCTACTTAGATTATTTAATTATTTCAAAATTATTTTGGCTATATTATGATACTATGAAAATGTTTTGTAGTTTCAAATCGTAATATTCTTATAGGCCCTTTGTAACAGAAGTGGAGTTCTTTATTGCTTTTCTTTATTTAAAAAATTCAAATGTACTGAAAATTTCATAGAGGGTTTCAGTCCCAATAGAAATAGAATTGATAAATATTAAATTTTCGTTGAAACATATATACTGTTTGTGCTTTGTGAAAAATTAAATAGAAATGCATAGTTTCTTATAAAGATTTTAATAAGAACATCTAGTCTAACGTCTAGACAAAAACTTACCAAATTTCAAACACAGCATTTTATTAAAGCGTTAGCAGCGGTTGATTTTAAGAAATGTTTATAATATAAATAAGTTTTGATTGTTTCAATTTAGAATTACTACCTTACTTCATATTATATGAATGGTTAATTTGGTGATAAGGTAAGAAATTTAGGTCTCATTATTGATTGTAACATGTCATGGGCACCTCATATTAATGAACTAAGTAAATGTAATGCATTTTTCTTTTCATTCTCTTAAGCGTCTCCAGTAGTTTCTCCCATTTAAAACCTAAGTTATGCTAGCGCAATCCATCCTATTGCCCATTCTCGACTACGCCGACGTCTGCTTCCTGGATATGACAGAGGAGCTACTTAATAAACTAGAGCGTCTTCAGAATCTCGCCATACGTTTTATCCTTGGCTTGCGGAAATATGATTACATGTCTGACTTTCGTGCTCAACTTAAGTGGCTCCCCATCCGTCTTCGCTGTAATATCCACATCCTATCATCTTAATACATACATACAATTCTTCTGTACGTGTTTGTTAACCTACGCCTGCTAAAGGACTGGACCGATTTGAATGAAATTTTAGGTGTTTATTTCAATGGGCTCCTGGATGGTTTGCAAACACAAATGGACCCAGTAGGTGGCGCTGCAGTCGGTATGCTACTGATCATCTCCTAAACGGCAGGGACGATTTTAATGATATTTTTTGTGCATGTTCGAGTCGGTCTCTTCAAGGTTTTTTACAAAACGTTTGTGTTAAATGGAAGCTATGTTTGACGTACTTTGCTATATGGGAGTACCTCCGCATTTGCTACATCTGATAATAATGATAATAATATATGTTGCGACATTAACACACAACACCATCTAGTTCCATGGTAAGCTACGAGGCCTGTGTTATGGATACCAGATAGTTAATACACTACACATATTATAACTTTAAATACATACATACATATTATAAATACATACAGCATCTATAACTATAGCAGTGAACCAGCAGATTCGTAAAATTGGAGAATCGAAAGTCGGAACTTTTCTACTAAGACCGGGCAGTTCGCCAGGGATATATTCTTTCGCCAAAATTGTTCAAACCCTACTATGGTGAATTTATTATGAGGATAGTATTGGAAAATTGAGATGGTGGCATTAGGTACTATTGTCAGTGAAAAAATCACGAAATTGAGATACGCATGACAACTGATAGATCCTACATAGATCATGGTAGGTGAGAAGTTCTCATTGTAAATTGTGCCCATATTGCACTTCTAGGCACCACTAAACAAAATAATTGAATTGAAGTTCTTTTTATTTAGAACTCAGAAACTCTTATTATTAATAGCTTCACATTAAATTAAAATGTCTGTCAATGACAGACCCATACATTATTTTTGAAGTCAGGTTATAAAGCTAATATTAGTTTTTAGTGAGAACATGACAACTGATTAGATTAAATATGTATCGAAGGAGGATTTAGTTATTATACCTTTTCCTGCTATAAAACCTTATTATTACCCGTTTGACGACACGTTTGGCTTAGTTTGTAGTGACACTATTTGATATGTCAACGGTCACGGATTAGAGTCCCGCTGGGGGCTTTCATTTGTGTGATGAGCACGACTGTTTGTACTCCAGTCATGGTCGTATATATTTATAATATGTATGTATTTAAAGTTATATATGTGTATTGTATGAACTATCTGGTATCCATAACACAAGCTTCGTAGCTTATCATGGCACTAGATGGTGTTTTGTGTTAATGTCCCAACATATTCATTTATTTATTATTTATTTTATTGTTTAAAGTCATTATATTATTTCGTTGAGTTTTTATTGCTCTTTAACACCTTCAGGTAAATTTCTAAGAAATTAATTAAATTTCTAAGAAATCGATTGTTAACTGTAATGCCGGCGTGTCCACGTTCGTTGAGGGAGTAAAGTAATTTCAAGAGCAGAGATTACGTCTCGAGCGAGGTCAAGACGCCATCATAACATTCATTGGAGTTACGTGGCTTAGTAACGTTGGTGGATCACTGTGGATAATTGGTGGCTGGTAAAGCCAAGGTTGCGCCTGACATTAGTGCGTGAACAATGCATCACGTAGTTTTAGAAGCGGAGGTGCGGGCCGGCGAGATAAAAGCAGCGGATCGCTTGATGACGGGCAGAACGACTTAACTTACGTTACGAATCGCATAATATATTGTCGGGTTACCACTGTGTGTAGTAAGTATTAAACCAATTTAGTACAGTTCACTCTTTATTTTAGTCTTTTTTCCTTCACGAAGTGTACAGGGCACTGTCCCCATCAGTGGCTCATTGAAGAGTTGCGTTTCGATATTGAATGTGGAAGTATAATCGGTGCCTGAGAACCCGTTTGCTCAATTAATTTATTAGAATTACCATTTCAAGTTTATAACATTGTGATTTCCCTCATTTAATTGTTTTTGATTGAATTATTGATTATTTGAGCTCTGATAACTCCTACAAGATTAGTAACCGCTAAAGATGATGTTCGTAGAATATGGGTAACACGATATACCTATGCATGTATTTCTTCATGCAGTTACTGAATTATAATACGGCTATCCTATAACTACTGATTATCAGGATATTCTGAATTTAAAATAGAAAAACAAAAAGTAACTACTGTAACTTGATTAATAGGTTCAGCTATATTTAAACTTAGTAGTTAGCATTTAGAATGCGTCTGTTTTATTATTGGAGCTAAAATGACAAGGCTAAAAAAATTCACCTCGCAACGTATCTGCTCCCATTGATGCCGATGTGAAATCAAATGATGACTTTTCATTTCATTATATGCTTTCAATTAGCATTGAGTTCAAAATACAGCTTGAAATACGCTCTGTTTTGTTGAAAGTAATATAAATGCCTATCATCGATTAAAATAAGATTCAAAAATGTTCTTTCTATACATATTTTTTTATAAAATGTTATATTATAAAAGTTGTAGTCTATATTAATTTAAGCAACTTATACATGTAGATTGTAGAGTACTTAGGATTATCTATACAAATTCAAATAACACGAAAATATGACATAAATTTTTGATTGTGTATAATTATTCTAGTTCAAACTTTAAATTACATTAAACTTGCTGAAAACTTATTTCTAGCACAATGTCAAGCTTAAGAAAAGTTTGAATGCTCTATAGTCTATTGTAATTAGGTCTATATTTTTGTCCTTAATAAGTTTGGATTTTAAATTTGGTTTGATATTTGAAATTAAGTAAAGGTAGTTTTAAATCTTATAGAACTTGGTTAAATAAATAACTTTCAGAATTTTATATAGGAACGTTTATTAATATTTTTATAAAATATATTATTCTATTACATTTGACCAAGTCGCTCTTATTAGATCTGCAGCCTTTTCTCCTATTAAAATTTCTGCGACATTTGTTTTTCCACTCAGTGGGCGAGGTATAACGCTAGCGTCAACTATTCTTAAGCCAACCGTGCCATATACTCTTAATTCTGGGTCGACCACAGCGTCAGGATCTGTTTGAGGACCCATTTTACAGGTAGATGTGAGGTCCCGTTGGGAAACAATTAAAGTTCTTATAGCACACTCCCAATATGATTCAGAGCCAGAAGGATATGAGGAACATGTGGGAAAGATTGGCAAATATAAGGATGCTCCATATCTTCTAAATGCTTCAGATTCACCTAATTTAATAACGTAATTGACGGCTTCCTTTAACGTCACTAAATCTCTCGGGTCAGTTAAATAATTGCCGTATAGTTTTGGATGGGAGAAAGGACTCGTGTCACGTAGTTCTAAATAGCCTTTAGATTTTGGATGCAAAAGTGTTGGTATAGCTTGCCATGTATCCACACTACTTAACTGACCAAAAGCGTTATGGTATGTCCTGTCTGATATTTTCCAGCTTTTCCTAATCGCTCCACCTGCATCTAATGTAAGTGATCCTCCCATGCTTGTTAATTCAATGTCTGGTAAATTGGAGTCTTCAGATAAAACTGTTCTAATATAGCCAATAGCTTCAACTCCACCAGGCGTAGTCAAAAGGCCATCGCCAAATTGTAACCATTGCATGAAATTTGGTAGCGTTGCGACTTTAGGTTCTAAAAGACTCGCATTTGTAGTATTCAATTTGAAAACAACTCCAGGGAAACTAATGTGATCATAAAGGCTTCTTCCAACTTTTAGATCTGCGAGGACTGGTATTCCTAATGTTTGCAAATTTTCCTTTGGACCTATACCGGAAAGCATAAGCAATTGAGGTGAAGCTACTGGTCCAGCGGACAAAATTATTTCCCTTCTACAACGCACTGTCCGTTTAATATGATGTTTGATATATTCCACTGCATATGCTCTCTTAGTTTGAGGTTCTATAACAACCTTCGTTGCTCTGGCTTCTGTTAGAATATGTAAATTCCTACGACGCTTGTGTGGATGAAGGTAGGCTTTTGCAGCACTTAACCTATGTCCTTTATTTGAAATAGTCTGCACATATCCAAAACCTAATTGATCAGGATCGTTATAGTCTATTGTAGGGTTTCCAAAAGATCTGCCAGCTGCAAGAAAAGCTTCTACTAAACCAGTCCTGAAAATTAACAATATGTTAATGTTTGTATTAAATATGTATAACTTATGTTATTCATGTAAATTCAAAATGTTTTCTTACTTAAATGGAACATTTTCAACAGTGAGTTCTCCGTCACGACCATGGTAAGGTGAATTTTTGTATTTTTTTAATTCTGCTCTTTCAGATTTAAGGTAATATGGTAATAAGTCGTTATATGACCTGAAACATATTAATAAACATATTATAATCAAAGTATACATACACAAGAATAATAGTTTAATCAAATAATAATAGAAACCTTTAGAAGATTCGTTAATAATTGTGTCATTTGATAAATCTATGTTGATATATATTTTGTAAGTCTTCTTAATAAGTATATTCACCTGATAAAGCGTATCAACTAAAAATATATATTTTATATCATGAATGCTACGTGTGATATGTTACAATGTGGGAATGCCTGATAGAAATTTACGGCAAGCCTTTTTATGAGATCAGGGACAATGCTGCGAGATGACTGAATAATAAAGAAATATTGAGCACAGCGACTTCTTCAACAATACTTAATAATAACAACCGAAACCCAAAACATTTAAAAAACTATTTCTTTAAAATATAAAAAATCACAATATGTGCTAAAGGTACTATTATTTTTATATTATATATTTTTTACTTAATAAGATCATCTGCATGTTATATATATTAACAATATAATATATAAAATTCCAACATGTTCGACGTTGCAGTCTGAACTTGCTTAAAGATTTATAGCAGCCAGTGAGTATTTTCACTTAAATTAATATTCAGTGACCTATTTTACGTAATGTTTGCATTTCTTTAATAAAAAAAATACTCTTGAAATTATAAGTATTTCAATTTATCATATAATTACGAGCTACTTAAATTATTTTTTATTTTTCAATCGATTTAATTAAATATTATTTTATGATTTTGTACCATCCATAATTTCCATCAGCGGCGATCCTGTCCCAGTCTTGTGGACGACCTCTTGCGTAAATCATGTTGTTAGTGACACTGGAACCTCCTACAGCTTTTCCTCTCGGTACATAGCAGCGTTGCTCTTCGCTACCTAAAATTAAATATTTACGTTACTTCATCTATATTTATGGCCTAAGAGCCTGTGAACGCCAGACCTTCGTCATTTTATAAAAGCTAAAAGTTTGTCAGCGCATGCTCCCAACACAGAAAAGAACGATGGACCATTATGAAGTTCAGGCTATGGTGGCTTTGGCAGGTACACGGTACTAAAGGTGTGTAGAATACCGATCTAAATTCGTCAAATAATAAAGTGTGATTTTTTGGTAATACCTTCAGAATATTATTAAACGATGAGAGATATATGATTATGTTCTATATAAAAGCTGAAGACCTTAATAATGCCTACAAAAAAAAGTCATCGACAGCATATATCTAACTTTTATATTTAAGTCAAAAAAGTAGTTTTTTATATTAAAAAATAATTTAAGTCGGTAGGTCATATTTATTGGTCATATTATCAACAATTATGAAATCTTATCAAAATAAGTAAATTTTTCGTCTAAAATGTTTAAAACAAAAAACTTTTCTCGTTTACTGCATATAATTTGGACAAATGGTTAAAGAGATAATACGACATACACGTAGGTATGGAACCGCGACCGCGTCGTAACCTATTGAGTGATATTTCTATAAGATGGTTTTATTCATATATAATACGTCAATTTATCTATACTATAATATTATAAAGAGGTAAAGTTTATGAGTTTGTGAGTTTGCGAATTGTGACGTTAGTACGACGTTGTAGTTTGCGATGTTGTAGGGGATAATCTCTAGATCTACGAAACCGATTTAGATGAAATTTGGTAAGAAGATAGTTTGAGAGCCTGGGAAGGACAGGAAGGATACTTTTTATCCCGGAAATTATCCCTTAAGGGAGTAAAAATGGGGATAAAAATTTGTATGGGGAAGCAAGCTAGGGACGAACCCAAGCGAAGCGAGAGTGAGTCGCTAGGATGATATAAGTACACTTTATAATATTTAAATAAGTTTTATATATTCGTGATAGCACGAATAGTGCACATGTGTGTAATGCAAAAGGTTTTTAAATAAGTACTTTAATTATTATTTTTGGTATAATTTATAATATTTTATGTGATACTTGTATTATTTTAAAAATTATTATATCATATATATATATATATATATATATATATATATATATATATATATATATACTTAAAATATTATTTTCATCTTATTGTTTTGCTCATAGAGCAACCTAGAGTATTTGCTTAAGTGCATTACAAATGCTTATGAGTTATGAATGTAAATGTTCTTTCCTTTTCATAATAATAATTACTTTGCAAGATGTACCAACTACTAACATTGTTAATAATTATTTATTTGCATTTTGAGAATTTAAATTTTTTCAAGCAAGGTAACGAAAAGTTTCTACTTTTAATAATTTTATTGTAAATAACAATCATTCAATTTCCAAGTTTCAATAATTATTATTATCAAAACATTAAAAAGTAAAAAATAACTAATTGGGAGTTTTTATTTATCTACCAAGTCAGTACCAGCCGACAATGTTTTAGGATATGAATTAGATATATCTATTAGATATAGGTAAATATGACAAGGTATGAACTTTAATTATATAGTTTAAAATATTATACATGTGATGTATAAACATTGCATTTATGCTTGTATTATTAACATTCTTTATCCATCTACGAAACTGTATAGTATGGGTATATGAGTAAACTGCATTTTTTTTGTAGCAATTCATCGATCAATGCATTTAAATCCTTTGATCATTGGGTAAACAACGTGATTTACAGAGCTTTTTTAACATTCCACTCGGGAATTTTTACATGTAAAATGCATATAAATATAATCAGAAAACAAAAATATACTCGTATAAATTATGTACGTATTATGTACAATGTACATATATGTAAAGTAAAATTATGTTAAGAGAAAAGAATTATAAATGTGTCGTAAAATAGTTGTAAGATGATTATATTGTAAAATAATAAAATAATTTATTCTAAAATACGGATATGATAAATAATATCTATTATCTATAGACATAATAATTATAGATATAATATAAATATTATCCATTAAGCTTTAAGTCCCAATTAAATATTTATTGCAAAATAAACGTATGAGGGACGTGACAGGATATTTAGGACGTGCGTTGTTTCTTTTGTATAGACTATACGGAATGGCTTCAAGAGCTTTTATTATATTTCTATCACACATTAACCATTCTATGTATAACTATTTAAAGTAGTTGTGAAAAATTATATCTATTCGAACACTCATAGGTAAAATGATAATTAACTTAGCTCGGGTTCGCCTCTAAGTTTTAACGGTTAGGATAGATTTGTCATAGATGAGATATTTTCCCGCAGTAAAATGTATCCTATATGTTGACTCTGAAATCTGTCCAGTAGTTTTCTCATTATGCGTTCCCAGACAGATAGACAGACAGAAAAAAATTCTAAAAACTATGGTTACAGCCTCTGTATCATAATAATGACTACTTCAATAACATTTTCTAAAAATTATTTAATGTACAGATTCGACTCAGAATTTTATAATATGTATAGATTAAAAATGTGGGTCGATTTAGAAGAATGAAGCTTAGGATGTAATTTTATAAACTGAATTTTTGTATTTTATAAACAAAATTAGTATTTCCTTATTGACAGTAAAGAAGGACACTTAACGGTACTTAAACTATACATTACGTGATAAATATTGTGCTTGGAGTCATTGCACATAACTGTTTATACGTAGATCATTTTATATTGGGACTTGTTGTGCGCTTCATTATTTAGTCGTTAGCAAGACATGCGTATATTTTTCTAAAATAAAAGCGTGTTAACAATATTGCAGAATGAAAAAATTAAAATACAATTTTATTTTGTAAGACCTATTACAACAGATATCTAATCAATAAACTATAATATTTATTTTTGATATCTGAATGACGACGTTTAATATTAAAACATGATATATGCTCGACGGAACGGTTCTACAAAATACACAAATAACAGAAAATTAAATTTAATCAATCAAGATGGTTTTCTTTAATTCTAATCATATCCACGTACATATCTATTATACTTTGAAATATATAAAATACTAGCGACTCACCCTCGCTTCGCTCGGGTTCGTCCCTAGCTTGCTTCCCTATACAAACTTTCATCCCCATATTCACCCACTTAAGGGATAATTACCGGGATAAAAAGTATCCTATGTCCTTCCCAGGCTCTCAAACTATCTTCTTACCAAATTTCATCTAAATCTGTTTCGTATATCTAGAGATTATCCCCTACAACGTCACAAACTCATAATTCACAAACTCATAAACTTTACCTCTTTATAATATTAATATTATAGATAGATTGACGTATTGTATATGAAAAAAAAACCATCTTATAGAAATATCACTCAATAGGTTACGACGCGGTCGCGGTTCCATACCTACGTGTATGTAGTATTATCTCTAACCATTTGTCCAAGTTATATGCAGTAAACGGGAAAAGTTTTTTGTTTTAAACATTTTAGACGATAAATTTACTTATTTTGATAAGAATTCATAATTGTTGATAATATGACCAATAAACATGACCTACCGATTTAAATTATTTTTTAATATAAAAAACTACTTTTTTGACTTAAATATAAAAGTTAGACATATGCTGTCGCTGACTTTTTTGTAGGCATTATTAAGCTCTACAGCTTTTACTCGTCTATAGAACATAATCATATATCTCTCATCGTTAAGGCAGCGTTCCTAAGAAACGTTTTCATCCGGCAGTTTTTTCTCCCACTTACTTTGCAAATCCGACTACCATGAAAAAGTATTTTTTCTTCGGGTTAATATATAGCCTATGACACTCAGAAAGAACGTGACTTTCTATTGATAAAAGAATTTTGAAAATCGGTCACAAACTTTACTTCTTTATAATATTAGTAAAGATAGGTTTGCACTTTCTCGTTTGTTGTCAAAGGTGATTAATTAGAAATTGATATAAAAATATAATTTTATTCGGATGAATTTAATAAATAATTTAAAATTCTCATCTTTCAATATTTTGAATCAAAAATCTCTTAAACAGTTCTATCATCATAAAAGACAAAACGGGATCAAGTTCCTAGTTAAAATAAAGATAACTACTGCGAATAATAATGTGTCGTTAACAAGTGTGTATGCACAAGTGCACTCTCTAGTCCGTCCATTGTCGTATATTTCGGTTCGACGTAAACTTAACACCAGACTAAGCTCTCTCTAGCGCAAGACTGGCAGCTTAACGTAACGCGTAGCCGACTTTCTAATTCGGGGCTGATACTGAATATTCCATGAGAGAAAAAAGAATCTGGGACTCGAACCCAGGACCCTCAAGAACTGCAGCTATATATGCTATCCACAACACCAACGAAGCAGTAAGTAAGTACATACGTGTGTAAATGCAGCAATAGCTATTATAACAATATAGAGTAAAAGCTATTACTTTAATACATAGATGGTATTGAGCAAAAATGTAATTTTAGCAATAAAGTTAACTCGTTATCTCGTTGAAAATTAAAACATAGACCTATTTGACATAAAATTATAGACCTATTTGACTTTTTACTTTAAAAGTTTTTATTTTAAATAGTAAAATTGAAATTACTAGTATAATTTATTCGTTGCATTCAAGAGTTCTACGTAAAAGTACGATTACTAGAAACACTATATATAATTAGTAAACAAAAAGAAAAGAGCCGGATAGTTTTCTTTAGGTGCATAATAATACAAAAGTACCTATAGATTATTATACACTTTTGTATTCGGGCTGTGGAAAGAAAACACTCTTTGTGCAGAGTCTTTGTGTTTTCCAGCAAGAAAAGCTCTGCAGCTTATTATACTGCAGTTAGAAGACAATAAATAGACTACCTACCTAAGTCTTTTATTATTATTTATTTTAAGAGATTAATAAATTTTGTTGTAATTCTATTTAAACACTGATCTGTACGTTATTCTATTACTATATATGTATATATCTATACATATAATAAAATTGTAACTAAGCCGAATCTGTACATTAAATATTTTTTGGAAAATCTTATTGAAATAGGCATTATTATCTATACAGAGGCCGAATATATAGTTCTTAGAATGTTTGTCTGTCTATCTGTTACCGCATTACGGAAAAACCAGAGGAGGGATTTTGATGAAATTTGATATGGGCTGGTTATCTGGGTCAACATATTACTTTTTACAGCGAGAAAATATCTCATCTCTGAGAAATCGATACTAAACTTTAAAACGTAAGTAGGGACGAACCTGAGCAAAGCGAGGGTGAGTCGCTACTACACAATATAAAGTTGAATTTCAAATTACTTATAAATAATCAAGTGTCTGTGATTGACAGCCCATATTGTTACATATAGTATGTACCTACTATGTATACTAAATCTATTGATGTAACTCTAACAAGATGTTGTCTGTTTGTACAAGCCATTTACCGGAACAGCTCAATTAATACCACAAGAATTTTAATACCAGATAGAACAGCTAAGAATGACAGACTTTTTTAATCGTGTAATAAGGAAGCGGAATCGTGGGCGAAAGCTATTATAGAGTTTTATTTTATTTTAGTAATTTTTAACAATAAAAATATCAGTTAGATCTTCATTGAAACTAGCCAACTACAACTTCCTTATGTTCGTTTATGTATTTGACATTAGCATTTAATCCGCAACTATTTTGTATGAGAACGCTTATTAAATGGAATTTAGGACGTATCTTTGCATATACTTAGTACATCGAAAAAAAAAACAATGGAGCATTATTACCTCTAAAATAAGGTTCTATTCATATTCATTTAAATATTTTTGAATTATGACTGAGTAAAACTTAAACAGTCAATATCTATAGCGTAAAGATTCAAACTTTCCTTAAGAGCCAATTAAAATAAATATTCAATAGAAAATAGAATATTCTCTAAGGATTATTCTTAAATATATTTTAGATTTACAAAAACAGAAATATACAGTAAGCTTACCCATACAAACTCCAGGTTGGTGTTCCATACTATATGGCCACACATAATCTGTTTGTTGTAGATACTGTGCTAATGCTGGTATGTCGGATAACAGCATTTCAGGTTTTCCAGCTTCTATTACTAAAACAGTGGCTCGAGGCTTTTCTTCAGTGAGTCGAGACGCAAGCACCGAGCCCGAAGAGCCAGCACCAACTATGACGTAATCGTATTCATCTAAAGGTTCGGTGAGACCTACATAAAATATGCAAATATTAATCATTGTATAATATAATTGTATTTTTTACTGAGTATATGCAGTTCATTATTATATAATTGAAATATAATATATATTTTACATTTATAATAGATGAAGGAATTATATTTTATACGTATTTTTTATAATATTATAATTTGTGAAGATGTTGTATATATCACGAGTATCACTGGAGCGATTTTGATGAAATTTTGTATGATGATAGCTGGTTATCCGGGATTTTTTTTTTGTTTACGCTGGGGAAACCCATCATGGGGACCCTGCCGGCCGTCATAACGGGCAAGGTACTGTGAGACTCCTACTCACTAAAACCCACAGCGGAACCCGTCGCCGCAGTGCAATGGGGCGTTGCAGGATCGCTTGCGCACACACTACAACACCCCTGAACATATAGGATACTTTTTACTGCGGGAAAATATCTCATTTTTGAGAAATATATACTAAACGTTAAAACGTAAGTAGGGACGACCCAAGCGGAGCGAAGGTGAGAACAATATATGCCAATACACAGCACCACTGTGTTCTACGTTCGATGACTTTAGAAGAATGCATTGTGAGCTCTTAGCAATATAAACTTTGTTGATTGCCTTGGTTAGGTATATACTATGAAAAACATTAACAAAATAAACACAACCGTTCGTCCGTGAGAACTTCGAACACGCGACCTGCGCCATATTATTAGCTTATGCCAGCAGGACAAAGTGTAACACAATAATACTCTATGAGACTTTCATAATATAAACAATAACATTTATATTTTTGTACATGTCTAATGTCTTATACTTAAAAAATATATTTAATTACAGAACTACTAATATAGACATGCGTAATTTAAAAACAACAAAATAAACTGTATTTTGATTCAATTTAGAGCTTTGTTGTTTACATTTATTGAGAATATTTATAACGTAATTTTAAATTGCAAAGCTTTAATTGTTTGGGACTAGTTCATTAATTATTCGTATATCCCACATCTCGGTGCTATCTTAATCTTGTAATTATTGTGAAATCCATACGCAAATTAAACTAATTAAATTTTAAGCTAACACATTGTACTATTAATACTATAAGATCTATAATGCGGCCATGAATGTTGAAAAGTACTTATTGTTTCAAAATTAACATTGTCTTCTATATAACAATGTTTGTTGGTGGCATGTGAATTTAATTTTTAGACTCACCTTTAGGCAATGGGTACGAATCTCTCAAAAAATCGAATGGATCGTTTCCATTTGTGGGGGAGTAATTTACAGCGAATGTTTGCATCATCATATCTACTATGGGGCTTTGAGGGTAGGACCAGTAGCCAAACCTGGCTTTTCTATTTTGTGCTTTAAGCTTAGATAGATGTTGCCTATTTTCCACTGATTCGGGCTTCTCATTATCATTGTTGGGATCGCTTTTGTTGTTTAAAGGATAAGGCCAAAGAATACGTCCATTTCTTAAACTTTGAACGTTTACATTTTCTTTGCTACTGTCTACACTGTTAAGTTCATCTTCAACATAAGCGAAATTTTCTTCATCATATAAAACTAGTGCTTTTGTGTAAATAAGCGCAGTTAAAAGCAAGGCTGCATAAATTAAACACTGCATAACTCCTGTAAACAAAGAAATACACTTAAAATAGAATTAACATTAACAGCCTGTATACGTTTGTTTATCTTACTAGTTCTTGTTTGCGGCATCATTAATCTTTAGCCTGGTACTCACTTAAATAAAATATAATTTCCTACAGATGGACTTATTGTTTATATCAGATATTTTAATGAAAAAATCTTAATAAAAACTGTCATTTTTTTACTCGTATATGAAGTTTAGGCCTATTTTAACTAAGCGTGTAATAAAATAATAATTATTGAATAAATACTTAATTTATGTGGCCTGTAAAAAAAACTTTAGATGTTTATATTTAAAATTGTTGACGTACATGGATAATAAAATTTATTTTGTATTTTAAAGATATTTTTTTTATTAATTCTGCTTAATTAAAGTTGTTGTATTAAAATTCTTTTTTACACGTCTTATTTTGTCAACTATTCTATTATAACAAATGAGTTATTTATCATTCGTTATTTGCTTTTGGTTGCGAATTAAAGTTTTTTTTAAAACAAATAAAAAAAAATTACAATTATTATATTATAATTTAGTTAATATTTAACAACTTACCTTAGTTTCAAATTGAGTATTTTTTATATAAATAAATATTTTCGCGATGTCCAACGGTCCAGGCTGTGTTTACAGCAGACGGTCAGAGACTGACTGTTCAAAGTGGTACATATCTTGACCGTGCACTTGAAATACCGCTATGTGGTTTAACAACATCGTACTCGGTCAATGTATGTGAGAAATTTGTTTGCATTACCGTGACAAGTGGTGGTACCCTTTAATAGTTCGTATTTGAATTTTTACCGATTTTACAAAGGGGTGTTCAATATGGTTGTATTTTTTGTGTTGAACCGTTTTTCATAAAACTTTTTTATAAATAGTACTATGTATTCATTTTATAAATAGATTAATCTCCATATGATAGGTATTATGGTATCGTTCTATCTCAAAGAGAGTCTAATAATTTAAAATAAAACTTTTTTCTAGAGTCTAATATAATTACTTTTAAGGAATTTTGGGATAGATGTATCTTTTTATTTTATTACTTTCAACATTTAATTAATCAAAAACTTGGAGTAACTTATATTAAATATCAATTTCCTTCAAGATCACGTTCATATTGTGAATATTCTTTGAAATCCTTTAAATTAAACTTAAACTATCCATTAGGCATAAAGATACAAAGTGTTGAAAGAGTGACTTATAAAATGCTTAACACGAGCGTGAAAGCGCATTTAAAATGGACTTTCTCGAGATTATTGCGGACAGACAAATAAATACGTCGTATTTGTTTATTAATTTGTATATTTATTCTTTTCTATAAACTTTTTTCACAATTGTATGTTCAGAAGTTTCGTAGATAAGAAAAGGCAATGCTTGGTTTTTTATCTTTTTTAAAGTATTTTAAAATTATGAAATGAAAATATTTGTATCTTTCTATGATAATAATTCGTCACATCATATTTATTTATTTACATTACATGCAGTAGATTCAAATAAAATTTGTGACACTCGATTAGCCAGATAAGCTCCTGTGAGCGGAACTATAAGGGGTCCATTTTTATCGGATATGTAACTACACACCCCTTATATTGAATTACTGTACATTTATACATATAAAGAGTTCATTGAACATAACATCACATTATATACTGAGTACCAGAAGGTTATCTCAGCAGGCTACAACGAGGAATTAAAAGATTTCATTTTCATTAAAATTCTCAAGCATAAACATTTTAATTTATTAACAGCGGTCATCGTAATTTACGAAAATTGTTATAGGCTCAGTGTAAAAAGTCATAATTTTAACTAGCAAGGCTTAAGAGTATTTTACGACAATCTTATACAATATTTCTCTGTTCTGAAGCCGGAGGGTAGATAATGGAGACCTTATTGCGCGCGATTTTATATACATACTGAGTTTATAATTTGTAATTTTTTTATAAGAATATTTTAGCAATAAAGAATGATAATGATTTATTAGAACAACGTCGAGGTTTTGTTGTTGTATGTTGTTTGGTTTTATGTTACTTAAATATTATGCGTAAATATACGGGAATACTTATTTGTGTAAAGTACAGAATTGATTTTATTTTTAATTTATCTACTGTTGTAGTTATTTTACAAACATTTTTGTGATAAATCGTATCTTATATCTTTAAACGAGCAATTCTTGTATATATAATATAATCTGAATCTCGGAAACGGCTCCAACCATTTTCATGCAATTTTGTATACAGGAGTTTTCGGGGGCGATAAATTGATTTAGATTAGTCTAATGTCTGAGAAAATGCGTGTTTTCGAGTTTTCATACAGTTTTCTTTTGTATTATTCCACGCAAAATATGGTCGGTAATTTGCACGCTCTGGCATAAGCATCGTGGTCAAGCGGCCAAGGTGCAAGATCAATAATCACAGTGTCCAGTTTCGAATCTCGGTCGCATACAAAGTTTTTACTTTTGTTTTTTTTAATAGTTATTCAAGTTTTTAGTTTAAAAAAAAGAACTTTGGGCCAAAAACTCCGAGCGAAGCTCGGTAGCCCAGGTACTTAAAGTTAACATTCAAAAGTTCAAAATAAAAATATGTAGGTATCACTGAAAACTGTAATAAGTAGGTACTAGAACCACGATCTTATACTTAATCATATTTCTAATTTCACCGTAGCGTTCTAATAAATGAAAAGATTATATCTTTGATATCTTTAATAAGAATTATGTTTATAACGCAATATATTTTAATAATTATAATAATACTGGTTGATATTTTGAATAACATTAAATAATGTGCTTATGCTATACCTACTATGAAAACAATTAATTTTGCGGCCGAATGGGTGACACGGAAAAAAATCCCATCTCTAAAACTCAATAAGTTATGCAGAAGCAAAATAATTTTCTATGAAAGTATTTCTGAACTTCTATTATCTTATTTTTTTTTCAGAATCTTCCACCTAATTTTGTATTCGCCCTTCAGTTACATGTATGGAGTGCTACCCTTATTTTTGGTATTTTCGTCATGTCCATCTGACCTTTTGTCCGTTTGTTACAGTCATTTTAATAAAATACTATTGGACCTACATTGCTGAAATTTGATAAGTAAGAGTCTCATGTTATTCGCTCAACAATTCTATAGTCATATTAAAGAAAAAGATAAGCAGTTTATAAATAGAAATTAGAGAGTACATATACATGCTTAGAATATTTCTGAATAGGTTTAGAATACAGATGGATTTTCGATTTCTAAGTGAATTTTTGGTCCAAGCCAATATATGGATAGGATAACAATCGTCTGGTTAGCTGGTAATTACACAATAATAATTATTAGTATCACTAGAAGAAATAGATCATTAAAACTTGTACGTTTAGATGACGCTAGCAGGCTTATACCTTGTTTTGATGGTACCATACATTTATCAATACGACTATATCTAGTGAAAGTTGTTAATTATGATAATGTGACGAAATAGAGGATAATCATTTTATATTCCATGTTATAAACTTGTCACTTTTATGAGTGTGAAAAACTTTCTCTTATTAATTTAAATAAAATGTAGCTTTTTGTATGATCTGATAACAATTATGTAATACTAGCGACACACCCTCGCTTCGCTTCAGGCCCGTCCCTAGACAAAAATAAATCTATCCCACGGGAATCATACATTTTCCGGGATAAAAAATAACATATGTGCTATTCCAGACTATAGTCTGTCTCTGTGCTAAATTTTATCCAAATCCGTTCAGCCGTTCTGTCGTGAAAGAGTAACAATACAACTATCCATCCTTTCTCACAAACTTTCACATTAAAATATTAGTGAGGATATTTTGTGTATTTTTGATTAATTGATTTTTTAATATATTTTTAATTGGCACAATAGTCAGATTGATATGCTTATAATTTCCAAGACATGGAAGTACAAGCAGTACCTACTTAGATATGTATGAATAACAAAATTCCTGGCTTGTGTACATTGTAATAATATGAAGCACTAGCGTTTGCTTGCAGCTTCGCTTGCGTAATTTATTTACATAATATGTATAATTAAATTGCTCCGTGTCGTTAAATCAGAGCGCGGAACCAGTTTAAAAAAACCGTTTATTTCGGTAATGTAATGGTTAATTCGTCGCTCGTTCTTTAACCGGTTAATGAAACCGAACGGTTTAGTAAACCGAAATAATAATGGTTAACGGTTATTCTTAAATTAGATTCATTTTAACCGGTTAATTTAGTTCAAGGAAAATAAATTCGTCAAAAACCGTTCTCCCGGTTTTAACCGGTTAGATAACGTAACCGAAACCTTAAAATGAAAAGGCTTTCGGTTTGGGGTCAATGACCAAAACCGGTTTAAAAATTGAATGGACTTCCCAGGCCTTCATTAAACTGTCCATAACCATCCTCAATAAATAAACTATATAGTGCATGTCTTTTAAAATCAGACCGATGATTTTCGAGATTAATACCTTCAAATAAATAAAAATATAACAAACTAGTGTTAAAAAATCATTTAGGCGGCGCACGCCGATAAAGGAACTCAATGGCAAGTTTTTTTCGGCTTCAATTAAATTTTATAAAATAAATAAACATAAAAATTGCAAACTTTAGCACTTTGTATTATAAGTGTAGATTATAATATTAGTAAAACTAATTATTTAATTAACAGGAAAAATATCAAGCTGCTGTAAGTGTTGTTAAATGTAAGCTGTTCTAATATTTTTGACACAACTTTGAAATTCCAAATGAAAAATAATTAAAGCTATTAATTTTTTTTTAATATTATTTATTAAAATTAACACTAGCCGTCTTTCTACCATCGTAAAGTCGATGCAGTTCAAATCTTGTAAAGCAAAGCACACTTTTACAGATAAGTTTTTTTTTATAGGAACATGCTTATAAAGAAATTTTATTTATCTTTAATTTATGATATAAAGCTAGTATTAGATATTATAATATAAAGCTAGATTTATATTTATTAGGAATAATAAACGAAATAAACTCGTTTATATATCCAGTAAGTAAGCCAGCATTGCTTAATTACAGCAAAATATAATAATATTTTTTTTGAGTATATTATTCGTACACATAGGTGT